GGGGGGGGGGGGGGGTTGTGGGGGGCATGGGTGAGGTCGCTGCGGGGCCTGGCCTTGAGTGTTTCTCCCACCTGGATGCGTTTCTTCCCGTCTTCACAGGTGCAGAGTGTGGACTTTGAGGGGCTCTTTGGAAATATTCAGATGGTGATTAGCTTCTCCAAGCAGCTGCTGGGCACCCTGGAGGCTGGGGACGCTGTTGGTATGGATTCTGTTATTACTTCTCCCAAGCCAGGCGGGCCCTTAGGGGTGGGGGCGGAGGGGGGAGAAGGGGAGCTGTTTCAATGGGAAGGTGCGGGCTCAGCTCATCTGCTGCCTCCCTGCCTTGGGCCAGGCCAGCCTTGAGCCCTGCTGCTTGTTCTCCAGAGCTTTGTCCCATGCTCAGTGACTCCAGTAAGGAGGCTTTCCCTGGGAGATCGTTCCATGCCTGCTGGGTCTGTGCGCTGGGACATTCAGATCCCTCCAACCCCCCGGAGGCTCACTGCGACCTGGGTCTCACTGGAAATTCCCCGGTGCGCCTCAGGATGTTCCCACTCTATTCCCTTCCTCTCTCTTGCAACCCTCCCCCTCTCCGTGGCTGGGCTCGCTCTGCCCCAGTGCTCTCCTCCACTCATGCCAAGGGTGCAGCTCCCCAGACTCTGTCTTGCTCCCCTCCATGGGCTCGACTGGCTAGGGATCCTGCCATTGGGGGTCTCTGGCATTAGGCTCCTTTGGTTTTTCTCCAGGTTTTTCTTGACTAGGATAAAAGATATTTTGAGGCATTAGTGAGCATGTTCTAACTCGTTTGAAATCCCCTTGGCAGCAGCTCGCCCAACACCACGTGCTAACGGGCAACTTGCCTCATGAGAGCGCCCACAGGGATACCTCCTACCACCCCCTTTCTGTCCTAGTCGTGGCAAACCCTCAGGGCTGCTCAGTTTCTCCCCGCTCCCCCTTCCACCATGCACAGTGGGCACCTCAGGGGCATGAGTCCCTCCTGGGCTTTGTGCATCCTGTGTGGTTGACTGCCCTGGAGCATGCCTCGGGGTTATTCTCTGCTCCAGAGGCGGCTTCTCTGCTCCTAGTGACCCTTTGCTCCTGCTGTCACCTGCCGGAGCTGGGCTCTCTGCTCTCTCCTGTGAACTCCCAGGAGCTCAGCTCTTTTCGGTTTGCTGGGTCCCACCTGTGACAAACGCGTCATCCTGGGGTTGGAGAGAGGGGCGGGATGGCGGGGGTGGGAGTATGAGGGTCCTGTGGAGCCTAGAGCAGTTGGGAGGAGGAAGTGCCCAGTGAGGTGCAGACATCTGCTGGGGACTCAGCTGGTAAACGCCAGAGGGATTAGGGGGACCTCCAGAGGGATAGAAGTACTGTACGTTGGTAGTGCAGTCAGCACAGTGGCATGCAAAGCTCAGCTTGAGTACATATCTGTTAACGTGTGTGCAAAGACAGTCTGAACTGCCCTGGACTCTGTGCCTTTCTGAACATGCCAGACCCTCTGAGGAGAGATCCAGGAATCAGAGCTGTGATCTCGTCGTGCTATTGACCTCTGTCTCCACTGTGCCATGAGCCAGCCTCAATCCCTGCTGACTCCCTGGCCTCCCCACGTGTGTGTGAAAACCCTGTCCACATCCATAAAGCCAGGCCCTTCTCCTTGGGTCCGTCCTTTGCACTCACCTGTGCTGTGATACCCGCAGAGCACAGCCAGGGATAATAGCCAGGCGGGTGGGGAGCCGAGACTGCTGCCCACTATGCAAAGTGAACTGGTCTCACTGTTCACCTGGTCGACCTGCCCACCCCCATGTGTCTGCTTCTGCCTCTGTTGTGTCTTGTTGTAACTCAGGCGGCAGGGACTGTCTTTTTGTTCCTGGCACAAGGAGGCCACCGTTGTAGCGGGGCCTTCGGGCACTGCCCTAATCCATGTAATAAGTAATGAGTTGGCATGGGGCGCTCGGTGCCGGCGGCTGCGCAGGGACACCAGCAGGCGGAAAAGCAGGAGGATGTACAGGTGCATTAAGAATGATTGGAAAGTAACCTGGGTGCTCTGATATTGCCGTCCTCTCAAGCAACGTGTGTGCAGGGGGAGTGGACAGCTCTGGGCATCTCGCCAGGACAGAAATAGAGACTGTAAAGGCACCAGGGCTGGGCAGAGCTCAGGGTGGGCAGGAGCCACTGAGCAGCTTTGGTCATTCTCCGCAGGGCCAGCATTCCTGGCGCACCAGGCAGGGCTGGAAGAGGTGTACAAAGTGTATTGCCAGAACCATGAGGAGGCTATTGCACTGCTGGAGGCCTACGAGAAGGACGAGAGGATCCAGAAACACCTGCTGAACTCCCTGGAGAGCCTCAGGTGATTGCCTTCCCCACTCCGCATCCTGGCCAGGAGTCTGGGCCGCCTCCTTCCCCTCTCTGCCCCTCATCCTGAGCATGCTGAGACAGGAGCCTGCCTTCCTGCCCCTTTTGCAGACTCTCTCTCTCCCCCTACAAGAATACACGGGACTGTCTTGGTGTCCATGTCCCTTTGGTCTCTGAGCCTTAGCAGAAGAGAAGAGACAACAGTAGAAAAGGCCCCCTGGCCTGAATGCCTCATCTCCCCCTCCCACCCCAGGCAGGATACCTGCAGGACCCCTCCTGGGTTACAGAGAGCAGCACATCTCTGGGGTGAAGATTCCTGAGCCTTCGGTCCTGCCTGGTTAGTGGCTTGACGGCACTGGCTTCCTTGCCTGGCTGACGTTCTCAGCGACCTGGCTCAGGGTCACAAAAGGCTAATCCCCCTGAAGCCAGCAGCTTCAGCCTCTGAGCTCTGGGACAGAGCAAGCAGCTGCTTCCCAGTGTCACTGCGGGGCAGAGGTGCTGGGTACTGGAGCCCGCACCTGATCGTCCCATTAACTAGCTTCCTTTCTTTGCTTTTCCACCCTCTGCGGCCCTGCAGGAGCCTGTACAGTGAGTGGTAAGTGCCTCCTTCCCATTACTCACTGCATGCCTGTCAGTCTGTCTCAGCCCTGCCACCCATCCCCACAACTAACATCCTCCTTCCCTAGGCTGTGTGCGTGCCTGCGGAAACCTAATGGTGCTGCATGGAGCCTGTGAATGCAGAAGCCTGGGGCTGGGTTTGGTGGGTCCGTGGCTGGGCTGGGCAGAGGAGGGAAGGGTAAAGGGTGTCTGTGCAGGAGTGTGGCAGAGCAATGGAGAGGTCATGTCCAGTGTAGACAGTTCATATAGAATCAGTCTGTACAGAGTTTAGGTTAGAGTCTGGGCTCTGGGGCGCACAGCCAGGATAGTGGGAGGGAGGGTGCGAGGCTGATGGGTTGGTGAGATTGTGGGATCAGGATTGATGGCAGGCAGGATTGTGGTAAAAAGAAGGGGTTGGCGGTGCACTAGGCCCGGGCAGTTTGAGGCTGATGTGGATTGCAGGGTGTGAGTTTGCAGCAGGTTTGAGATGGGTGGACGCCTTGGTTTTTAGGAGCATGGTGAGTCTGGGGTTTGAGGCTGGGAAGCTTTGAGGACGTACGGGTGCAGTGAATTACTGAGATTCAGTAGCTTTCGGGGAATACGTGCAATGGGTTGGGGTGGGCTTGGGGGGCGGGGTAGGCACTGTTCTGTGGAGCTGGATTGAAGTTTGATGCATCTCGTTCCTCCTGACTGCCAAGGGGCTGCACAAACTACATCAACCTGGGCTCCTTCCTCATCAAGCCTGTGCAGAGGGTGATGCGATACCCACTGCTGCTGATGGAGCTGCTGAGTGCCACACCTGAGTCGCACCCTGACAAGGCACTACTCACCGCTGCAGTCCTTGCAGTCAAAGAGATCAACGTCAACATCAACGAGTACAAACGTCGCAAGGACCTGGGTGAGCCAGCCTGGCAGAGCCGGGATGAGGAGGCACTCCCAGCGCAGCTGGGCACGGGAACAGGGAGGCAGCAGGGGAGATGCGGCAGCTGGGCTGGGAATGCAGCTGTGGAGAGGATGTGGCAGCTGGGTGTGGGGGACATGGTGGCAGGGCTGCGGTGGAGATGGGACAGCAGGACTGTGGGGTGGGCGGGGGGATGGGGATGCAGTGGCTGGAGGGGAAGAGGGAGGTATCTGGGGGTATGCAGCACCAGGGGTAGGTGATGAGGTTGCAGGGCAGTTGCCCGTGTGGAGCTTTGACTCCTGCTCCTGCCTCTCCCAGTGCTGAAGTACCGAAAAGGGGATGAGGACAGCCTCATGGAGAAAATCTCCAAGCTCAACTTCCACTCCATCATCAAGAAATCCAACCGTGTCAGCAGCCACCTCAAGCACCTCACAGGCTTCGCCCCCCAGGTAATCCACCCGCGCAGCTGGAGCCCACTTCATGCAGAGGGAGCAGAAAGGAGGGAGTTGGTACCCCTCTGGCCTTCCCCTTCCAATTATGCTCATCACGTGGCTCTGCCTGGTGATCCAGAGCTCAGCACAGATGGGTGGGGGGAGTGGTCAGTGGGAGCCCGGTACAGACACGGCCAGGGGTCAGTGCCTCTGGCCTTTCTCTCCTCTGGGTAAGTGTATGTTGGGGTGTCAGTGTCCCTCAGTCTCTCGTCCCTTGGAGGGAGGCATTGCCCATGGCCTGTCTCTGCTCTGGGAGCAAAGGGCCACCTGCAGTTCCCATTGGGTAGGACACTGTGGTGCTGTATTTGACCCCTTTGAGCCACTCTCCATCACAGCTGAAGGACGAGGCCTTTGAGGAGACGGAGAAGAATTTCCGGTTGCAGGAGCGGCTGATCAAATCCTTCATCCGAGACCTTTCCCTCTACCTGCAGCATGTCCGGGTGAGTCCATGCTCGACTGGGGCTGCCCTCGCTAGTCAGCCTGGTGGGGTCAGTGATTCCCGTCTTCTAGAGGAGGGTTCAAGCTCTGGCACTTCCTATTCTCTGGGGTGAGAGTGGAAGGGGAGGGAAGGGACCCTGTTCTCTGGGTCACTGGCTGTGTGGGAGGGGTTCTGCACAGCCCTCAGCAGCGGGTGATCATTGCACTGACTGCTGTTTGTGTCCCTCACCCCAGGAGTCGGCCTGTGTGAAGGTGCTGGCAGCTGTGAGCATGTGGGACTTGTGCATGCAGCAGGGCAGTGGGGATCTGGAGCAGTTCCAGAAAGTGCATCAACTCATCAGCGACCAGCTCTTCTCCAGCTTTGTAAGTGAACCTCCTCCCCTTGTATCCTCTCTCCTCTGTGCTGACCTGCTGTCTCTGCATGGGCGGGAGCAGTAGGGCCCTTGGAATGAGTGTGTGTGGGGGGGTAACGCGGCCCCGTTACAGGTTCCGGATTACGTGCTCAGTCTGACTACGAACGTTTGTATGCATTTACACTCTGGGTAATGCCAGCTGGGCGGGTTGGACTGTGCTGTTTTGAGCTGGGGAAGGCTGTGAAGCTTGGTGTTAGGCTTGGGTTTTATTGGCTATTCACTGACAAAACACGTAATTGACTTAGAGTTACGGTAAGGGAGGAGGGTTTAGGGTGAAACATGGGGTGTTAGCTAGAGATACAGCAGAAGAGAGTGAGGGGATGAAGTTGGATGACACAGGGTTGATGGGGATGTTGATTTATGAAACATGGGGGGTTAGCAGTCGCCAGATTAGGGTGAGACAGAATGATGGCTAGCAGGGAAAATTGAGGGTGAGAGTCGAAGGGGTCATTAGGAATGAATTGGGATGATACTTGGGGTGACTGTGGGGCTCAGGGATACTACAGAGTGTGACTCACAGGAAAGTTTAGGGTGAAACGAGCAATGTCATGAGAGGCAAAGATTAGTGAGAGAAAGCACGAGTAAGTGGGGGGATGACTGAGGGATTCGTGGAGTGGTCAGTGAGTGTGATATGGGGTGGTGACTAGAACGGATGATTTACTAATAAAATGGGGGTTACTAGACGGAAGATTTAGGGTGAATCATGGGGTGGCCACAGGAGATGTAGAGTGAAATGAGGATTGACTAGAAGGGAGGACTTAGGTTGAGGCACAGTGTTGGGGACTAGGAAGGAAAGTTTCATGTCAGATATGGAGGCAACGAGGTCTGGTGATAATGGAGACTAACGAGGGGTTTTAATTAAGTTTGTGCTCTGCCCCCTTGGAGCTGGCAATGGCCACTGGAAATTATCTGCATGTACTGCTGCTGTGTTCACTGTGTTAGGTGTAGCTGCATTGAATGGTAGTGGGATTAGTGGGAGCAGTTTGGAAGAGCTGTGATTGTGATAGGACGTGATAGGACATGATCTGAGTAGGCTGTGTCAGAGGCTGGGCACAGGGGTGGTCTTGCTGTGTGTGTTCTCTGCGTTTAATGAAGGGTAAGGGAACATATTGTGTTAGATGGCATTGTACATATAAGGGTTATTGGGTTGTGAAAGGTGTTGAGGAGGTTGTAAAGTTTAGCAGATGTGGTATTCTGTCTACGGAGTAGGTTAAATGTTTGAATGTATGGCAGGGGTAGGTAGCTCTTGTTCAGTACAGCACAAACATAGAGTGAAAGTATGTGTCACAGGCATATTGGGGCTTTGTTCAAAGAGGGCAGAGTTAAGGTTATGTGGGCATGTATCTTAACTCTGTACTTCCTGGTTTCCAGAAGGTTGAGTTTTTTCCATTCCATTAGTATCTCTGGAGCAGTGGTTCTCAACCTGTCATCCATGGACTATGTCTAAGGGGTCCATGAAAGATTTTGACTGAAAACTGACTGAACAGAATTCAACTATAGATACAGACAATAGATTTCCAAAGGGGTCTGCACCTCCATTCAAAAATTTTTAGTGGTCCAAAGATGAAAAAAGGTTGAGAACCACTGCTCTGGAGGACGTTAAACAGCAGCTACTAAAGTTAGACGTTTTTAAATCAGCAGGTCCACACAACTTGCATCCATTGCATCTGGATGGTTAATGTTGATTTTCAATAAGTCTTGGAACACTGGGGAAGTTAAAGAAGACTGGAAGAAAGCTACTGTTGTGCCAATATTTAAAAAGGGCAACCAGCGTGACCTGGGGAATTATGGGTCTGTCAGCCTAACATTGATCCCGGGCAAGATAATGGAGCAGCTGGTACTGGACTTGATTAATAAAAAATTAAAGGAGGGTAATGTAATTAATGCGAATCAACATGGGATTCTGGAGAATAGCTCCTGTCAAACTAACTTGATAACTATTTTTGATGAGATTACAAGTTTGGTTGATAAAGGTAATAGTGTTGACGTAATAAACTTAGACTTCTGTAAGGCGTTTGACTTGGTACCGCACGACGGTTTGATTAAAAAAAAACGAGAATGATATAAAATTAACCTGGCACACATTAAATGAATTAAAAGCTGGCTAACTGATAGGTCTCAAAATATAACTGTAAATGTGCAATTGTCATTGAGCAGGTGTGTTTCTAGAGATCTAGCCAGGATCGGGTTTTAGCCTCATACGATGTAACATTTTTATCAATGACCTGAAAGAAAACAACAAAATCATCACTGATAAAGTTTGCAGATGACACAACATTTGAGGGAGTGGCAAATAATGAAGAGGACGGGTCTCCAATACAGAGTGATCTAGATAGCTTGGTAAAGTGGGCAGAAGCAAACAATCTGTGTCTTTACTATGGCTAAATCTAAATGAATACATCTAGGAACAAAAAAAACGTAGGGCATACTTACAGGATGGGGGACTCTATCCAGGGAAACTCTGAAAAAGATTTTGGGTGATGGTGGTGGATAATCAGCTGACCTGAGCTCCCAGTGCAACCCTGTGACCAAAAGAGCTTAATGCAATCCTGGGATGCATAAACAGGGGAATCTTGGGTAAGAGCAGAGAGGTCACTTTACCTCTGTGTTTGGCACTGGTGCGACTGCTGCTGGAATCCTGTGTCCATTTCTGGTGTCCACCATTCAAGAAGGATGCTGATGAATTGGAGAGGGTTTCGCGAAGTGCCACGAGAATGATTAAAGGATTAGAAAACCTGCCTTACAGTGAGACTCAGGGAGCTGAATCTATTTAGCTTAGCAAAGAGATGGTTATGGGGTGACTTGATTACAGTCTACAAATATTTTATAATGGGCTCTTCAGTTTAGGAGAGAAAGATCTAACATGATGCAATGGCTGGAAGTTGAAGCTCACAAATTCAGATTGGAAGTAAGGCACACATTTTTTTACGGTGAGGGGTAATTAACCTACTGAACAATTTACTGCCGATAAAAAGACTATGCATCTCCCTGAGGATACGGAATTTCTTTTCTCCCACCCTTCGCCTAAGTCCATCATGATTGATGCAGTGAATTCCCCTCCTCTGTCGCCTTCCTCAAGAATGTCCCTACCTTGGGAATCTGCAGAGCAGCCACCTGGGCATCCATGCATACCTTTGCAGAACACTATGCGATTACTGGGGAGTCTGCTTCGGCTCCACTGTATTTTCATCCTTAAGAGACTCGACTCCGAAGCCTCAGCCTCCCATCCGGGATACTGCTCAGGAGTCACCTAGGGTGGAGCACCCATAGGGACGCTACTTGAAGAAGAAGAGGAAGTTACTCATCTTGTGCAGTAACAATGGTTCTTCAAGATGTGTGTTCCTTTTGGTGCTCCGCAATCCACCTTCCTCCCCTCTACTTCGGAGTTCTTGATAGGGACTCTGCGGTAGAGAAGGAACTGAGGGTGGTTTGCCTGTGCAGCGCTAATTAGCCTCGAGGCAGAGTATGAGGGAGGGGGAGCACATGTGCGGTCCGAACGGACACTGCTATCAAAGATCTCTGATCAGCTGCAGGGGGGTGCACATACACCAACAGTGGAGCACCCATAGGGATACGCATCTCAAAGAACCATCATTACTGCACAAGGTGAGTAACTTCCTCATCTCTGGCGGTCTGGATGGGCACAGTATGCCACCAGGCAACCTTAACTCTGAATTAACAAGGGTTTTTGTCAGTGAATTTCCTAGTTTTTTGAACCGAAAGACAATTGGTGGCAGGACTTAGTAGTTATTTAGGAAGTTATAATTGTGTACATGTGTAGCTGAGACACTACTATGATAATAGTAAGGATGATAATCGCTAGCCCTTACACAGTGCTTTTTGTCAGTCGAGCTCAAGGAGGGAAACATCATTAACCTCATTGTACAGATGAGAAAAGTGAGGCACAGAGAGGTGAAATTAGTTGGCCAAAGTCACCCCGCAGGCCAGTGGCAGAACCAGGAATTGAGCCCAGGTTTTTTGAGTCCCAGACCACTGTTCTCTCCACATGATTGTGTCATTCCTAAGAGCTCCCTCCACCAGTACACTTTTGCTTATCAGGGAATGGGGATAATGTCATGCTTTGAAATGATTGGTGTTTGTGGTTGATAACAGGATGCATGAGTGATTGGGGGACTATTCCTGGTGAGAGGCCGAGAGGTGATTGGGGGGTACAGTGTAGTGTGAGAGATGGATTTGAACAGGGGAAGATTTAGGGTGAGACCAAAGGTGTGTGGGACTGAAGAGGAGGGAGGATTGAACATGAGACACAACAGTGATGACTAGGGGATGGTTTAGGCAGAAGCACAGTGTGACGGGGTATTTAGTATAGTGATAGAAGAGAGTGATTGGGAACGAGGGTGACATGGGGGTTGACTAGCGAGAAAGGGTGAGACACTGCAGGGGGATGAATTAGACTGACACTGGGCTGAGGAGGAGGGACAAGTTGGGGTGATGGGAAGGAATTGGGGTAAGATGGAGATGCAGACTGTGCTATTGTAAGGGTCGAGTTAGGGTGAAGTGCCGGGTGAAGTGCCGTGGCGTGTGACTAGGGTGAGACAGTGAGAAGTGATTCGGGAGGTGGGTTAGGCTGAGATGCAGTGGGGGCGACTTGGATGGTGGTTTTGTCTGAGAGTTGGGAGGTAACTGAGATGGAAGCTTCAGCATGAAGCACAGTGGAGTTGATGGGGAGTGATTCAGGGTGAGACACTCAGGTGGCTGGGAGAGAGGGTTTTGCGTGAGGTGCACCAGCAGGAGATGTGGGTATAGTGTAGGGCAGAGGTTCTCAAACTTCTGCAACCCAAGGACCCCTATTTTGAAATAAAAAATTTTGCGGACTCCCATCCCCCGCTCAGCCCCAGGTCCTGCCCCCGCTCCACCCCTGCCCCTCCTCTTTCCGCCCCCTCCCTCGAACGCACCCTGTCCCTGCTCCTCCCCCTCCCTCCCAGCGCCTCCTACACACCGGGGAACAGCGAGGCCCATGGACCCCAGTTTGAGAAACGCTGGTGTAGGAATACGGTGGGACAGAGGAGAGAGAGGGCAGAGATGGCATGTGCTGCATACCAAGCTGCCAGCAGTGCAGGAATGGACACTGCTGACAAAAGGGTACATGGATTCGGACCCCGGGCACAGCCTGTGGTCCTACCCTGTGTGGCTTATCCCTACCCACAGACCTGCCACTTTGGAAACACTCCTATAGCTTGCCAGGTCGCACTGGATGGAACTGACAAAGAGGGAACATTCAGGATGGTCCATGGGGCTGACTCAGGAGCCCAGGGGGAGATGGCTTAGGAGGAGATTGGTGTGAGGGGCGACTAGGAGGTATCTGATGAAGCTGAGTGAAGGGAATGTAAATTGAATCTCAGTCCACGTTTAGTGCCAGTGAGATGACTCGAATCAGGACAGCTAGGACTCCCCATCACTTGGGACACGTGGAGCTAGCTAGATAAATCCCTGCCCTAGCTGAGAGAGGCTGAACAAGGAAAGAGGGGGATGCTCTATCACCTGCCTCTTGTTTCACTGTCTTCCAGAAAGAGAGGACGGAGCGGCTGGTGATCTCCCCTCTCAACCAGCTGCTGAGCATGTTCATGGGGCCGCACAAGCTGGTGCAGAAACGCTTCGACAAGCTCCTGGACTTCCACAACTGCACGGAGCGGGCGGAGAAGCTGAAGGACAAACGGACACTTGAGGAGCTGCAGTCAGCTCGCAACAATTATGAGGCATTGAATGCCCAGCTACTAGACGAGCTGCCCAAGTTCCAGCGCTGTGCCAAGGAGCTGTTTGCCAACTGCTTGCGGGGCTACGCCAGGGCTCACTGCGACTTTGTGCACCTGGCACTGGGGGAGCTGAGGCCACTGCTGTCGGTGAGTTCCCAGAACCCAGCTCAGCAACAGGGGCAGGGGATGGAGCAGGGAGGATGTGATTGCAGATGCTCCTGGCTCACTGCAGACATGTTGCCTCTGTGGAGTTTTTCTCTCGTGTGTCGGGGGAGTTTCTGCCTCCTGAGGCTTGTCCCCCTTGTGTGCGGAGCTGTGGCTGTCATGTCAGACTCTGGCCTCCCCTCGAGGCTGCGCCTGTAGGCTCCCCCTGCTCCAGGGGACTGGATACTGTCGGTGGCAGGGGCTGCTGTGAAAGGTGTTGGATCAGCAGACCTGGGGGCTCACCCTCTGTCCCCACAGCAGGGACTGCAGGGGAAGTGGCGGGATAGGCTCGCCCCTGCCCTGCCAGAGGGGAGTTCCAGGGCTGGCTCAGTCCTTGCCCTGGACTCCGGTGCAGGTTCTAGACCAGCATCTGGCTCATCTTCTGCTGAGCTCCCCTTTGGCTGCTGGGTCTCTGGGTTAGCAGAGCTCTGTTGATGGCAGCTTCCTATCCTCTGCTCCTGTTCCAGCTGCTGCGAGTGGCTGGCAGGGAGGGGAACCTCATCTCCATCTTCCAAGAGGAGCACAGCCGAGTTCTCCAGCAGCTCCAGGCCTTTACCTTCTTCCCGGAGTCCCACACGGCTGCCAAGAGACCATTTGACAGGAGGAGTGTGGAGCGCCAGTCTGCCAGGCGGCAGCCACTCCTGGGCCCAGTGAGTCCCTTCTGCCTTGTTTCAGGGGCTTGGTCTGGGGAGCCCAAGGGGGCCTTCTCATGGGTGTCTTGTTCCCCTCCAGCCCAGCTACATGCTGCAGTCAGATGAACTCCGAGCTGCCCTCCTGGCCAGGTACCCCCCGGAGAAACTCTTCCAGGCAGACCGCAATTTCAACGCAGCCCAGGACCTGGATGTCTCGCTGCTGGAGGGTGATCTTGTGGGTGTCCTCAAGAAGAAGGACCCCATGGGCAGCCAGAACCGCTGGCTCATTGACAATGGAGGTAGGTGGGGTTCTGTGCCTCCAGCAGCACAGGGTCTTCCCTGACTCTGCCATCGGCCAGGATCCATGAACAACGAACTGTAACCCTCCGGGGACAGGTGGCCACTCTGGCCTGTCTCCTGTGGTCTCCTCTCTGGTTTATCATCCTCTCCCCTTTGACCCACTCTCCTCTCCATGGGAGCCTTTTCGTCTCTGACCCTGACCCGCTCCCTTTTCCGCAGTGACCAAAGGCTTTGTGTACAGCTCCTTCCTGAAGCCCTATAACCCACGCCGCAGCCACTCAGACATCTCGGTGGGCAGCCACTCCTCCAATGAGTCCGAACACAGTAGCTCCTCACCGCACAGCAGCAACACCCTGACCTTCAACCCCAGTGGCATGACCGTGACCTTCACCCAGAAACCTCTGCAGGACTGTGCCTCTCCAGGGGTTCCATACCACTCCCTGAGGTCCCCCTCCGAGACAGATGCTGCCTCCCAGCCCCAGGCTGGCTCCTCTGATAGAACGGTTCCCATGGAATCCAACCAGCAGCCCAACATGACACCAGCTCACCGACGCTACAGTCGTCCTGAGCCAAACAGCAGCTCCAGCACCCGCAGTGGGCACCCTGCCAAAGCATACCTCAGGCCGGCACCTTCGCTGGAGGACAGAGACTCGGGGCTGGAGAGCAGCGAGTCTGAGGGCAACCAGGTAAGCCCCCCTGCTGTCCTTGCTCTATGGGGGAGGGGCTGCAAGTCACACCCTTCACTGGGCAGAAGCTGAACCCTCCCTTCACTAGGGAAGGGGTGCTGGCATGTGTGAGGCAGATCTGGTTGATCAGTCCAGGGGGTGCTCAACCCCCACTCCACCCCTTCCTCCAAGCCCCCACCCCTGTCCTGCCTCTTCCCTCCCCCGAACATGCCCCGGCCCTGCTTCTCCCTCTCCCTCCAAGCACCTCCTGCCTGCCACTGAACAGCTGTTCCAAGGCGGGCAGGAGGCAGTTGGAGGGAGGGGAGGAGTTGATCAATGGGGCCACTGGTGGGGGGAGGCACTGGGGGGGGGGGAGCTTGCCTGCTGGTGTGTGCTAAGCCACCTGTTAATTTTTTTCCATGGTTGCGCCAGCCCTGGAGCACCCACGGAGTCAGCGCCTATGGACCTCAACCCCGTCTCTTGTGAGGAATGTGCAGACCCCCAAGGCTAGGTGGGAAAATGGGGTGTACAGGGTCTCTTGGGCGTGGGGAAGCAGGGAGATACCTGCCTTTCAGGACCAGCCCTTCTCCATATTTTCATGTAGAAAATCAGCCTGGCTAGTGACCAGGGCAGGAGAGTGGGGCTCTGGGAGTGACTGCCCTAGAATTCTTTGAGGGGGTCAACAAGCATGTGGACAAGGAGGATCTAGTGGATATAGTGTACTTAGATTTTCAGAAAGCCTTTGACAAGGTCCCTCACCAAAGACTCTTAAGCAAAGTAAGCTGTCATGGGATAAGAGGGAAGGTCCTCTCAGGGATCAGTAACTGTCTAAAAGACAGGAAACAAAGGATAGGAATAAATGGTCAGTTTTCAGAATGGAGAGAGGTAAATAGTGGTGTCCCCCAGGCTGTACTGGGACCAGTCCTATTCAACATATTCATAAATGATCTGGAAAAAGGGGTAAACAGTGAGGTGGCAAAATTTGCAGATGATACAAAACTACTCAAGATAGTTAAGTCCCAGGCAGACTGCGAAGAGTTACAAAAGGATCTCACAAAACTGGGTGACTGGGCAACAGAGTGGCAGATTAAATTCAATGGTGATAAATGCAAAGTAATGCACATTGCAAAACATAATCCCACATATACATACAGGGCCGGCTCCAGGCACCAGCTTACCAAGCAGGTGCTTGGGGCGGCCAATTCAAAGGGGTGGCACTCCGTTCGGTATCGGGGCGGCACGTCCGGTGTTCGGCAGAAATTCAGCGGCGGGTCCCTCATCCTCTCTCTTCCCCTTTAAGCTGCGCCAAATTGCCACCGAAGAGGAAGAGAGGGGGGGACCCGCCGCCGAACTGCCGCAGAAGAAGCGGCGCAGTTGAACTGCCGCCGCTCGTCTTTTTTTTTTTTTGCCGCTTGGGGCGGCAGAAAAGCTGGAGCCAGCCCTGTATACATATAAAATGATGAGGCCTAAATTAGCTGTTACCACTCAAGAAAGAGATCTTGGAGTCATTGTGGATAGTTTTCTGAAAACATCCACTCAATGTGCAGCGGCTGTCAAAAAAACTAATTGAATGTTGGGAATCATTCAGAAAGGGATAGATAATAAGACAGAGAATATCATATTGCCTCTATATAAATCCATGGTACGCTCACACCTTGAATACTGCGTGCCGATCTGGTCACTCCCATCTCAAAAAAGATATATTGGAATTGGAAAACATACAGAAAAGGGCAACAAAAATTATAAGGGGTCTGGGACAGCTTCCATATGAGAAGAGATTAATAAGACTGGGACTTTTCAGCTTGGAAAAGAAACGACTAAGGGGGGATATGATAGAGGTCTATAAAATCATAACTGGTGTGGAGAAGTTAACTAAGAAAGCATTATTTACTCCTCATAACAGAAGAACTAGGGGTCACCAAATGAAATTAATAGGTAGCAGGTTTAAAACAAACAAAAGGAAGTATTTCTTTACCCAATGCTCAGTCAACCTGTGGAACTCTTTGCCAGAGGATGTTGTGAAGGCCAAGACTATAACAGGATTCAAAAAAGAACTAGATAAATTCATGGAGGATAGGTCCATCAATGGCTATTAGCCAGGATGGGCAGGGATGGTGTCCCTAGTCTCGGTTTGCCAGAAGCTGGGAATGGGTGACGGGATGGATTACTTGATGATTATCTGTTCTGTTCATTCCCTCTGGGGCACCCGACGTTGGCCACCGTTGGAAGACAGGATACTGGGCTAGATGGACCTTTGGGCTGACCCAGGATGGCTGTTCTTATGCCCTTATGACCCTGGGAGATAGTCCTTTCCCCTTGCTGTGCCTGTCTCTCTCTGAGTGTGTCTGAGTAATCCTCACACTACACAAATAGCTACATGACAGTGTTGATCCTGGCCTGTTGTTCCTCAGGCCCGGCCCAGCTCTGACCCGCTTTCTCCCCCTGTCCCTCTAGGTCTATTATGCTGTCTACACCTTTAAAGGCCGAAGTCCAAATGAGCTGAGTGTATCAGCCAATCAGAGACTCAGGATCCTACAGTTTGAAGATATCACGGGCAATCGAGAGTGGTGGTTAGCTGAGGTGCATGGGAGGCAGGGCTACGTGCCGTCCAGTTACATCCGGAAGACGGAGTATACGTGAGGCTGTACCATCCCCACAGAGAGACCAAGTTCTGGTGCCTTAATCCCACTTGGACCATGTCAGAGACTTGCGGGGGGAAGGGTCTGCGACCCCTGCTGAGCTGAGGCAACCTGTACTGCTCACTTCTGTGTGAAAAGCCAGCCTCTAGCCACTGAAAGCCATGTGGTATTGCCAGTGGTGCGGGACGGTCCAGGCCCTGCAGGGCTCTGCCCCGCCCAGGCTGCTGTCGGTTGGCGTGGTGAACGTGGCTTGGCCAGGGGCAGTGACGTTACAGGGCAGCCTGTGCAGCAGGAATTAATGTTGCCTCCTGTCCTGTCTCTTCCTCCTAGCATGGCAAGTAGCTTCCCCTTAGATCTAGCTGCTAGGAGCTGGCTGGGCCTGACTGGACACAGAGCAAAGCCAAGTCCCTGAAGGAAGTGGCCCCCTCGCTCGGGCCAAAGCGCTGCTTCCTGCCTGTGTGCAGCATTTCCTTTTCCTTCAGCACTTCTGGTTTAATGCAGATTCCCTCTTCGGCCAAGTACCGTTAAAAGCAACCAGGGCTGTTGAGAGCAGGAGCCCCACAGCTCCTCAGCAGCGCGCAGGAGCCTTGGGAGCAAGGGCCAGGCTCCCTCACCGGGCAGGGGTCAGGCTATAGCTGGGAAGTTGGGGCTGGAATACAGAACCTGGCACCTGCTCAGGGTGGGATTCTTCCCTTCCCTGCTCCATGTAGAGGACCCACTGTCACTGGTTATGAGCTGTTTGATTCCACAGCTGGGGAGAGCCATCTCCCCAGAACCGCCTGCCTCCCTTGGGGGAGCTGCTGGTCTATGTCCGTGCTGCAGCGGGCACTGTAACTCCCAGCACAGACAGGCTCACACGCTCAGCTGACGCATGGGCAATGGCCAGGGCTAGCTTCCCGCGTCCAAGCCCCCCCAGCCTACTGGTCTCTACCTCGGGCGGCTAGCCTGAGCTGCAACAGCCACTCTGCTGTGTTTAGCATGCTGGCTCGGACTGAGCTAGCGCACATCGGCTCTGCCCGTGCTGAGAATTCACACCTCCTCGCTGCAGTGGAGACGTACCCTGGGTTTGGGTTCTCCCAGGCTCTGGTTTCAGGACTAGCAGCATAGTGCTGCTGTGGGAGATATATGATACTCCTTCCCCTAGCGCCCAGCAGGCAGCAGCTGCTCACAGAGAGCCCTGCCGCCAGTCCTTCAGATGAGCCAAAGATAAGACAGCAGCCTCACCTCCCTGTCACTCGAGCCATTTCCCCTCCCCACCCCGGCCCACCCCCAGAACTTGGGGGTCCGTCCCTTTGCTCTGACGTGTCCCAGAGTGCTGTGAGGGGCTGGTGAGAATCAGGCACATCCTTTGGCAAGAGTGTAGGATAAAGGCATCAACACACCACACTGCCTGCTAGGCTCTGGCTGTGCCCCCGGAATGGGGCAGCACTATTGGAGGGGGCTGCCGCTCCTGGCCCGAGAGACACCCCCCCCCCCCCCCCATGCTCTGACGGCAGTGTCTGTCCCCCCTAAGTAAAGTGTCTCCCTTGGTGTTGCTCAGGCTTGTTTGCGTCAAGCGCCTTGTTTCTGGTCAGGGACATGCACCTGGCAACGCTGTAAGCCTATGCTCCTCCTGCTGCGCATGGGCCCTCGCAGCCCAGACTGCAGTGACAAACTGGAGCAGCAGCCACCCTGCAGCTTGCTGAGAAACCAAGAGACTAACACACAGTTTGGGACCTGTGCCCAGAAGCTGCTGGAGTACAGCAGTTTATAGGGCAAGAATCTGGCAAATGGTGTGTAGCCAGATGGCCCAGCCCCTGTGCAGAGGCGATAGGGCGTGCAAGGACAACCCGAATCGCTGTTCCAAGCCATGGGCCCCAACCTCACACTGGAGCCAGGTTTCTGCTTCAGCTTGCACCTCATGATGGAGCCCTGCACAGCAGCAAACCTGTGCTTAGGCAAACCCTGTGCCTCCTCTGTCCTCCGCCCCTGCTGCTGGACTAGGCCCAGTCTTCAGCAAGATTCCTCAGCAACTCCCCCCTCGCCGCCCACACAATAAAATCACAAACAAGGGAAGTGTTTAAATAGCCTTTATAGAGAGAGAATTGCAACAACACACTTAAGGGGGGCTCCCCAGGGCTCCTGCCTGGACGACTGAGCACGAGCAGGGACCAGGGGAGTGTCAAGTTGTTTGGCTGGGCTTGGAGCAAAGCCGAGAGACTGACACTGACTCCAAGTCTTGCAGTGGGGGGTGGGGACAGCCCAGGGCTGCAGTCACCTTTCACGGGGGAGGAGCCAAGTTTTGCCTGTGTATCCAGTCCTTAGTATCAGGAAATTCTGTTCGATGTAGATTTTATACTGCCCTCATGTGTGAGGTGTCTGCATTAAAGCAGTGGGTCTAACGTGTCACGTGGGGTTCACTCGTGCTCTCAGCCTCTCCCCAGGGCATTCGTCTTTTTACACTGTCCTGACGCACACTTTCTGCTGGGGAAGGCTGCTTGGAGCAGTGCGCCTGGCACTTGGAGCAGAAGGGGAGGAGCTCTGCGATGGGCCAGATGGTTCGAGCCCTGGACTGGCCCCTGAGGCAGCTGTCTCCTGCCCTGCGGTAGAGAGCTCCACTCTGCTAGAGGAGCAGGACTGTCAAACACGGTCTTCAGGCTGGAGCTTTAGTTAATCTTTCAGCTATCCTGGGCCTATGCCATTGAGTGCCTTGAAAATAAGGACCAATAAGTAAAGTGATTGTAAAAATACCTCCATGTTCAGCCGAGCTACTCCCAGACTGCAGGTCGGGTCAAAGCCACCCCAGGTGTCTGTTAGAGCTGCTGCCCACGTGCACATGGGGTCTGGCCTGAGCACGTCTGCATTGAAGCTACCCCCACGTAGCGGGGTTTGGATCTGTCCCCTGGGTATGGCAGCAGCAGGCCCAGAGCTGCTGCCTGCAGTGAAGTAAGTCCTAGCCTTGTCTAGCCCAGCCCCGAAGCCCCCTCTTCAAGGGACTCAGAGCCCAGCGGCTTCACTCTCTCCTTTAGTCCCAGGTGAAGAGGAGTGAAGTCCTGGGCAGGTCCTGCTCGGAGCTGCCAGGCGCACTGAGGCAACAGAAACAGGTTCTGGCAATACACTGTTTGTCCGTTCCAGTTTGCGGTGGGCCCTGCCCTAGGTTCTGACTCTGGATGTTGGTGCGCCAGTGTTGGGCAGGGTGCTGACCCTGTCAGCTCCAGCTCTCCTACAGCACCGTGGCTTGAGCACTCACGATACCAGCGTCCTTAGCCATGGTAGAGAAAAGGCCTTGCTGCTGGAGCAGCCGCTCAGGGCTGTCATACTCCACGATGCGCCCCGCCTGCAGCACCATCACCCTGCAAGCACAAAGAGAACGTTGGGTGCCACAGGACCAGCGCTCCTGTCATGCAGCTTCTCCTAGTACATGCCCTTCCCAGTCCGAGGTGATCTACAGCCCCTTCCCCACCCTAGGCAGGACAGTAAATCTCTCCCCTGGGCCAGGACCGGGGCCTGCCTGTGTCTGTCCAAGACAACGGACATAACGCTGCTACTATCTGAAAGACGGGAGGCAAAGGCATCTCTTTTACTGGACCAACGTCTGAGTGAATGGGACAAGGTTTGGAGCTGCACAGAGATCTTCAGGTCCTCTACAGCCTGTCCAAGAGGGGGGCTAGGCGACATCTGCACACCCACTTGGTGCAGGCCACGAAGGTGTGCCCAGGGCCCCATCCACACCGCCTCTGGCGGTGGGGGTCAGTGTGCCACCCTCCCCCAGTTGTTTACGTGTGTGTATAGCCCCCTGCACCTACCACCTGGAGCCTGGCCCCTTGCACGTCTCCCTCAACTTGTTGGCCCTGATGGTGTGTACAGGGCCCCTGCTTCCCACCCCCGCTAGCCATGATAGTGCAAAACCTGCCTGCAAACCACTCCCCCCCGTCCAGGATGGTGTGTACCGCACCTCCCCCCAGCCTAGCCATGATGATGTGTATAGTGCCCATGTGCGCACACACACCCCATTGCTGTCTGCGATGGTGTGTATGGCACACACCCCTCTTCCCCCCGGTTGGCCATGATGCTGTGTATAGAACCTGCCTGCACCCACCTCGCACTGCACTGCTGTGCAGAATGGAGTGTACAGCAGCTGCTTTGGGGGAGGAGGGGGGATTGTCCAGGATGGTGGCTATGGTGCCCCCACCCGCTCCTGGCTAGCCATGATGGTATGTAAAGAACCTGCCTCCCTACCCCACCCCGAGTGCTGTGCGCAACGGTGTGTCCAGCAACCGCTTCTGGGTGACCACCATGGTGTATACAGCGCCCCTGCTCCCTGGCTAGCCATGATGGTGTGTATAGCGCCCAGGTGCACACACACTCACACACAACCCCTGCCCCCCCATTGTGTATACAGCACCCCTTCCCAGACAGCCATGGTAGTATGTACAGTGCCTGCCTGCAACCCCCCCTCCCCCATTGCTGTGTGGAATGGTGTGTACAGCAACTGCTCCTGGCTGGCCATGACGGTGGGTATTGCAGGGGCACGAGTGTGCACACACAGACACACACCTGTTGCTGTCCATGATGGTGTGCAGGCGGTGGGCGATGGTGAGGACAGTGCAGTTGGCAAATTCACTCCGGATTGTTGTCTGGATTAAATGATCTGTTTCCAGATCCACAGCTGCTGTTGCCTCATCCAGTATGAGGATCTTGGATTTACGGAGCAGGGCTCGGGCCAGGCACAGCAGCTGCCGCTGCCCAACGCTGAGGTGGGAGAAAACAGCACTGATGTGGGGCAGCTTGAGAACATGCCCAGCGCTACCTCTGCCACTGAGGGCAAGCGAGTGACCTGGCGTAGCCTAGCGGCAGCATCACACCCTGCCTCTCCTGCCCCATCAGCCAATCACCGAGACAGGCTAGGACACAGGGCATGGGGCAGACGGGCTCAGACACAAGGCTGTCTAGCCCAGCAACTGTCTCCGACAATGGCAGCACCCGATGCTGCAGAGGAAAGTGTAAGAATGCTGCTGTCAGGCTTTGGGGACTTCTGACCCCCCCCCCCACCCCCACCACCACCACCACCACCACCATTAGGTTTCAGCTGAACCTTCCTTAGTAAGAGATCAGCTTATGCCTTGAAGAATTAGGCTTAATCCTGTATCAAAATTTTTCTTAGCATTAACCACTTTAACACTTACTAGCCATATACATGTCCAGGTCCTTTCGGAAGTGTGTTAATTTCTTGGCTTCAACAACTTCCTGTGGCAAGGCGTTCCACAAGCTAATTACACATTGGGGGTGGGGAAGCCGGGGGGTGGGGGTGGGGCTTGATTGTCTCCTTGGTCTTGTTTTAGAAGACCGGGAAAACAGCCATTTATCCTCTCACTCGGTCATTATTTTATATAGATTTAGCCCAATATGGCCATTCTTATGGGTCCCCCCCTTAGCTGTTTTCTATCGAAAGGACACACTTCCAAGCCTGTCACTCGCTCGTCATGTGAGCATTTTTCCAGGCCCTTGCTCACTCTCATTGCGCGTCTCTGCAACCCCCCCCCCCCACACACACACACGTCAGCACTATGCTGGGTGAGATGAGGTGACCAGTACTGCACGCACTATTCAAACGCAGCCACACCATTGATTTAGGAAGTATTTGTGATATTATTCACCATGCCATTCCTTATGCAACCTCACACAGAATCACAGAAATGTAGGACAAGCAGGACAGAGCAGCTAGTCCAGTCCCCTGCAGTGAGGCAGGCCTACGTCTTAGCTAGACCAGTGGTTCTCAACCTTTTTACATTTGTGGACCCCTAAAAAATTTCGGATGGCGGTGTGGGCCCCTTTGGAAATCTATTGTCTGTATACATAGTCGAATTCTGGTCAGTCAGGTTTCAGAATAAGTCTTTTGCAGACCCCCTTGACATAGTCCACAGACTCCCTGGGGGCCACGGACCACAGGTTGAGAACCACTGATCTAGACCATTCCTGAGAGCTGTTTAATCTGTTCTTTAAGAAAAACCCTCCAATGACAGCGAGTCCATGACCTCCCTAAGTCATTTGTCCCAGTGTTTAACTACTCTTACGGTCAGGAAGTTTTTTCCCACTGTCCAACCTAAATCTCCTTTGCTGTAGTTGAAGCCCACTGCTGCTTGTCCTGTCCTCAGTAGCTAAGGAGAATGAGCTCTCCTCCTCCGCTTTATAACAACTTTTTATGTACTCGAAGACTGTTATCATGTCCCTCTTCCCTGAAGCGTGGTGCCAGACCTGGACACAATAAATCCAGTTGAGGCCTTATTAGTGCAGAACAGAATGGAAGAATTACTTCTCATGTCTTGCTCACAACACTCCTACTAACACATCTCAGAACGATGTTCGCTTTTTTTGCACAGTATTACACTGTTGATCCACTATGTTTGTGATCCACTATTTAGTTTGTGATCCACTATGACCCCTAGATCCTTTTCTGCAGCACTCCTACCTAGGCAGTCATTTCCCATTTTGTATTTATACATTTGATTGTTCCTTCCAACATGTAGTGCTTTGCATTTGTCCTTACTGAATTTTATCCTATTTACTTAAGATAATTTCTCCAGTTGTCCGGATCATTTTGAATTCTAATCCTGCCCACAAAGCGCTTGCAACCCCTCCCAGCGTGGTATTGTTCACAGATTTATAAGTGTACTCTCTGTGCTAGTCTCCTAATCATTGATGAAGATACTGAACAGAACTGGACCCAGGACAGATCCCTGCAGGACCCCACTCGTTATGGCCATCTAGCTTGACTCTGAACTATTTTGTAGCCTCTTTGGCTCACAGCTGCACTTTGAGATGAGATCGCCATTGAGCTGGCTACAGTGAGGTACGAGTGTCACTGATACAACCCCATATGGTGCGAGTTGTTCAGTTTCTCCCCTCCCTCCAGTGTGCATTACTTGCATTTATCAACAGTGAATTTCATCTTCCATCATGTTGCTCATTC